CCCTCGGTGGCGTGGTCCGTCGGGGCCCGGCGAGCTGATGGCCAGTCCTGTTGGGCAAGGACTTTTTCCGCGTGTTTTACCAAGACTGAGTCACTCGGGGTGGTACTGGGATGTTACGGCAATAACCGCGGTCGTAAAAATAAAAAATAAATAAAAAAAAAAAGGCGATGTTAGAGGGTAGCAGGGGTGGAAGGCGCAAGGCTAGCGGCCCAGCTGGAGGGCACGCACACCTGTCGGAGTTGGACAGCTGCTGCGCGCTTCTTCGAACTCGGAGCTTTTGGCTGTTAAAATGGTCAAGGATTTGAGGGGGGGGGAACAAAAAGTTAATTGCCTTTCCATTTCCTTTTTCCATCCCGAGTCTATCCAGCAAACGGTGCTGTGTTGTCCGTTTTGGGTTTTTTTTTTTTTTCCACTGGTTGGTTTGAAGTCTGTTATAAAGAATGGGTCGAATTGTGCTGCCGCTAGCTCCTTTCAGAGGAGGTTGTTCCACGTCTTTATTCTAAAAATGAAACGGATGTAACTGTTAAATTTTCCTTTTGTTCCTTATGTCATCATAAATTGCTTTAACGTTTACGCCAGACGTCAGATAAATGAGAAGAAATGTTTTTTCCGCTGAAGTACAAAGCTAGAATGAATTATATTATTATTATTTTTTTTTTTTCTTGAACAGCTCCTGGAAACCTGTAAAAACTATAGTTGGACTAATTATCTGATCTAGACTGAAAATTAAAACAGGTCCTCAGCAGAAATAAGAAAATTCACTGCTCTGACTTGCTTTGTTGAATATCTTTTTTGACTTTGCTGAACAGTAATCCTAAACAAAGGTCTACTTTGAGGGGGGTGTGTGTGTGTATCTAAAGCGTCCTTGTTTAATAGGTGGAAGACAGAGCTGAACTGGTGCTTTTAAGTTTGATTGCAATTGATTTGCAGGGCAATTGGTAGCCATTGGTGGCAGTTTCTTTTCTCCGTAATATGTAAAACAAGCATCTGTCTTAGGAAAATGCAAGGGGCTTGATTATCACTGATAAAGTTCATGATGCGAATTAAAGATGATGTTTATTGTTGTCTGCAAAATAATGTCTTCTATAGGTCTGCATGGAAGCTGAGGCAAATTCTAATGAGCTTTGAGCCAGGTCTTCTGAGCTGTTGGTGTTTTCTCAGTGAAATGTGGTTCAGGAATGTGGAACTCGGTGAGAAAGGAGAAGGTCTTTTACCTTACTCAGAATGGAGTGGATTTTCCTGGAGAGATGATATAATAGAGTCCTGTTTTTTTTATTTTGATGTGAACTCATCTCAGGATTTAAAATTCTGCAAGGGTTTTGGTTTGTGTGTGGGGGGTATTTTTGGTTTTTTTTACTTCTTGTTTGCTGCCTAAATCTCAGCAGTCCTCTCAATTTTGGGTCTGAATGATCCTCACAGCTTGCTGTACAGCTTTTTATTTTAAGTCTGGACTTGGAAGAAATTAAAGGGTGAATGACCCTGATTAGTGAATGGCCTTGACTGCTCTAGGAAGTTAATTCTTTGTAAAGTCAGGTTCCCAGATCGGGTGTGAAATCAGTCCAGGGCTTCAAGTGGGTGAGCACAGCTTTTGGTCAGAAGTTCCAATAACTGAACAATAACCTAACTCTGCATGGTGTTCAAATGTAACTTTCTTCCCGAACTTCGTAGTACTGCAGTCTGACTGCTGTGTTGGCTACAAAAACCGCACTAGTGGAAAAAGACCTTTGAGAACCAGATGATCCGTGATGTAATCTTTGCATTTCCTTACCCTAGGGAGTTTAATTTGGTCATGGTTAAAAAGTACGTTTTTGTTTTTTAGATTTTGGTTTTTTACATTCATGTCAAAGTATCTTTTCAACTCTGTCTGTAGCTTAATCTGCTACTCTTTGAGTTTCTCTGAAAAGCAGCCTATGCTCACAAACACCTAGCAACCTTCTAGGAGGGTGGTGCGTGCAATACGTAGTAGCTGTACTGAAGCTGTAGCTTAAGCACTGTACTTTTCTATAAGGTACTTGGACACTGATCTGGAAGAAGTAGAAGTCATAGGTGGACTGACTTTGACGATATCTTGTGGATATTTTCTAGCTCTGTGTTTGCTCGGTATTGTTTTCTGCAGCAATATCTTGTTCCTCTGTAGTGACTGAGACCTTCAGCACAGAGGGTGCAGCTAATCTGAAAATGATGGGTTTATCACCAAATTGATGCCTGAGGGCTATCCTCCAAAAGCACACAAACATCCTAATAGTTTATTTATGTTTGCCCTGTTCTTTGTGTTGGCAAAGGAGTTCTCAGAGAGAGAGAGAGAGATTGGGTTCTTGCTGTTTCTACAGCTTCTCCTTTCCCTTGTATTGCTACTAGGGAAAGCTGTCGGGCACTTTCAGAAAGTGTTTCTGATCCCCCAGTAGTCTAATTTCTGAAAGTTCATCTCTAGACTTTTTGCATTTAGCCAGTCTCTAATAAAGATGGGATTTAGCTAGTTAGAGTAGTTTTTTTATAAAATACTAAATGATCTCTAATTAAACAAGATACTCTTTAAAATATAGTACTTGTAACTTAGCTCCCTCACTGGAATTTGCTCTTCTGGAACAAATCTTGTATAATTTTTTTTTCCTACATGCAGTAGTGGCATCTAATAAATTTTTCAGATGGTTAGAAGCTTGATAGGGTACATTGTTGTTAGCATTCATAAGTTTATAACGGTGAAGGTTATTTAGGATGGTCTTAGCTGCAGTCAGTTTAACTGAGGCTGGAAATTTGCTATAATTTTGACTAGCTTAACATCCATTTTAGATATTATTCAGAAGTGTTAATCTTTTAGACAGCCCTACTTGTTTTGGTAAAGTTTTGTGAAAGTTTCCTGAGGTATTGTATACAAATTTTTCATTCATCTAGATAACTGCTGAGACAAGGGGCTGGTCAGGCAGGTCTCCGAGGATAGCTGGTGGTCATTACCAGATAGAACTAGGTTTCTTACTAGGCTTCTTACAGGTGAAGCAGTGTCAACTTATTTTCAGGTTATAAATAAGTCATTAGGACAAATCCTTCCCAAACTTCTGGCTTTATCAGACTTGATTTCTTAAGAATGAAGGTAAAAGTAAAG